GAAGACTGACACATGACGGTGACAAGTTTGAGCCCAGGCCAATCTGGGAAACTTAGCAAAAGCCTGTCTCAAAATTAAAAAAAAAAGAAAGGAAAAGAAAAGAAAAACAAAAGGGAGGGGATGTAGTTCAGTGACAAGATCTTAGGTTTAATCCCCAGGCCAAATAAACAAAAGCATACCATACTAAGTCATAACAGGTCAGTTCTTTTTTTTTAATAGTAGCTCACAAAGGCCTACTGAACTTGCCTCCATTTTATCTATTTGATTTGAACTCTTAATTTGTCACTCTGTACCTACCCTGTTGTACCATACTGGTCTTATTGCTTTCCTGGTACCCATAAAGCATGAAGACCTCTCTTTGCCCTTTGCACTTTCTGCAGTGGCTCTTATTCAACATCTAGAACAATGTCTGGAACATAATAGGCAACATTAATAAGATATCAAATATGTTTTTTATGAAGTGAATCGATAAATCTTTCACTCATTAAATAACTGATTTGTTTTAGGTCATGAAGATGACAGTGAACATCTGGTGTCATGTGAGTGACAGACAAAGGCAGATGCTCGCTTTATATTAAAGTGTTAGGTAGGAATTCATGTAGTATGCTATGTGGAAAAAATACAAGCAGCATCTCACTGGGGCTCATAGATAGGCAAGTGTTCTCAGGAGACATGTGCTTGAACAGAGACCCAGAGATTGACTAGGAAGTTTCTTAATAGAGAGAAAAGTTAGAGACAATACAGTATTCAGGGTGAAATTCTAGCGGTAAAATTAGAGTTGTAGTGAAGAGTATAAAGGCTAACACATTCACAAGTGGTGATGTATGGCTTTGAAATGGACAATGAAAAGTATTAAGCAAGAGAGTAGCATGATGATGTCTTTTTAAAAAGTATTGGGTCTCGTATGGAGTGTGGATTGGATATTGGCCAACATGGAGTCAGTAGCATGGGGTAAAACTTTATTGGTGCAATATAGATAAAACATAAAGGCAAACTAAACTAAAGCACAGGGGAAGGCAATGGAAGATACAACTGGGCTATGCTAACTCAGTGTTGAATTGCTGCTGCATACAGCTATAAGAATTTGAAAGGACAAAGAAGCTCACAAGCTGTGGCCTGCAGTACCACCTGGCATCTGTATTGCATGGAATTTAAGAACAGCTGTTACTAAGCACGGGCAAATTCAATTTTTGTAAACATTTTGCACAAAGCACCATCAACCTTGAAGAACTGACTGCAGGCACAGGGGGAAGTCTGATGTTATACACACAGTACAGCTGTACTTAGTATAATCATTCATTCATTCATTGCAAATATCTAATGAGTAGGAGGTACCCTTCTAAGGCCCATGGATACCCCATCTAACAGACAAAATCCCTGTCTTCATGGAGATTATACTCCAGTGGAGACAAGTAAAAACAAGCATATATCTACAATAATGTGTCACATGAGAATTGTTACAGAGAAAAGTAAGGGAGGGAAGAAGGTTAGGAAATACCAAGGGAGGGGAAGTGAATGACTATACCAATGAATCTTAGAGCAAGATTTAAAGGAGATAGAGGGGCCGGTCATGGTGGCGCACACCTGTAATCCCAGCACTCCAGAGGCTGAGGCAGGAAGATCTTTGTGAATTCAAGACCAGCCTGGGTTGCAAAGTGAGCTCAACTCCAGCCTGAACTGCACAGTGAGTCCCTGTCTCAAAAAAGACAAAAATAAATAAATAAATAAAGGAGATGATGGATCATTTGAGTGAAAGACACCTGGATCTTAGACCAGAGAGAAAATTCTCACTTATGTAGGTTGTTTTATTCTAAAATATGTAACTAGTTTAAGTATCCTTTGTTTAACTAGTGAAGAGTGTATTTCTATCAAGCAGGTTGATGCCCTGACCGGCCCCATATAAAACAACCTGGTTCTCCCTTGGACACAGCTAGATTCTGGGAGCTTTTTAGGGACAGGGTCCTATGAGGTCAGATATTTAAAACAGGACCTTCCCTAGAACCTCCTGACTTACCACCATCTCTCAGGCTCAGTTGCTGTATTTATAACCCCATGTCTAGCCACCATCAGCTGTGGTTTTGTTTGGATATATTTATACTTTTAAACTGTGAAAAGTCTATGGTGAATAAATGTCTGCACTGCCATGTTCATTGCAATATAACTCATGAAACAAGCTGTGTCAGCAGGTGAAAATGTGGTATCTATATTCAGTAGATCGCTATGTGGCCTTAAAAAAGGAAATCCTATCACTGACAACATGTACGAATGTGGAGAATATTCTGTTAAGTTGAATAAGCACTGCAGAGGAAGACAAATCTGCATGATCTCATTTATGTAGTGAAAAAATTTGAGTTTATAGAAATAGAGAGTAAAATGGTGGTTTCTGGCACCTACGGGATGAAAAGATTGGGGAGATGTTGGTCAAAAGGAACAAATACTTACATTTTTCCTTTATAAATAGGATGTACACAAATAATTTAAAACAAAATAGTAAAAGTTGACCAAACATCACCTTTTTTGCCCAGATAGAAGCAAGTTTCTGTCTGAGGTTCTGACACTTCAGACAATCCTAAGATACAGAGTGCGGTTGAACACCTTTAATTAAGGAGTACACCTCCCTTTTTTGGTAGAAAAGAAATCTATTGTACAGATAGAATACTCAACTGCCTCTTGAATGGAGAACTTCCTCTTTTAGTGGCTGCAGGTCCTTCTTTGGGGTGTAATCTCAGTAGTCCAAGCAGAGGTCAGGGTGTTCTAAAACCAAATACTCTATGTCTATAAATTCATGACCATATAGATTTTTTTTTTTTTTTTTTACAGAACATGCAGTGACATACTTTTATTGGGAAAGACCTTTTCCTGAGCTATGACCCATTATTAAATGGCACATTTGAGTGAGGAAGCCTGTTGGAGTTCTTTCATAAATTCAACATAAAAATAAGAATAGTTCTTTACTAACCTAATTATTGAGAACGTTGGTTAACATCTGTGGGCAAAGGTTTTTTATTTGTGACATCAATAATATCTACTTTCCTATATCTCAAGTTGTTAGTAGGAAAAATGACACACAAGAAAATTCCTTATAAAATACAAAGATGTCATTAATGATGAGGTTATACCCTTAGAGTTTCAAATGCCTTGGTTCAAACTCAACTCTTAAGACTTGTATCCTTTAGCTACAGGAACTCAAGTGGACCAAAACTGTAACATTAAACTACAGTGCCCCCTAGCACACTTAAGAGGTCAGTGCAGCTGAATGGTCTCATAAATAAGATACAACACAGATGGTTCTTTTGCCTGAGGGAAGGGCTGTTAACTGTACTTTTGGACTATTTCCATCTGTCCAAAAAGTGAAAAAAACAAACAAAACACTTATGGTTTTTTTTCAATATTTGCCTGTAACATTGTTTTTATTTTTAATTTTTAAAAAAGAGTGAAAATGTAACTGATATTTACTATTTAAAATTTCCTCTTCCAAATTACTTCAAATGAAGGTTGGGGATATAGCTCAGTGGCATAAGTGCCTGCCTGTCAAGTGCAAGGTCATGAGTTCGATCCCCAGTACTGCAAAAAAAAAAAAAAAATTGCTTTAAATGAAGGGTATTTCTAAAAGAACAGTACTGCACTAGATTTACTTTAGGATTCACTGTGGATCCGATTTTTATTTTGATAACCTATTCAAAATTCACCCAGTCCTTAATAATACAGTGTGAGAGAGGATATCAGTCAAAGCACTCTTTACAAAGATTTTTGCAAAATTGCACAGAAAGTTCTTACTATGAGCGTCAGCACCTTAGCTCCAATGCACATGGAACTCACCAAGAGTTATAAACTTGTGTAAGGAAACGCTATGGAATATTTTGATATCAAAATGTAGAACTATTTGCTAATACAGTTTATAAAAGCCCAGATTAAAAATACACCAATTACTTTCTTACAGAGGCTGCAGTTCATCTCGTTCTTAATTTCATACATTTTTAATATAAATTTTTAAGTTTAAATGGTCTAGTAGATAAATTGGGTCCCCAACTGATGAGTCCTTAGGAAAGGGAACTTGCTATGGGAGTTTATTTTCCATGCTGAGCACTTAAGTATTAATCAGCTCAGTTTTCAGGGATTTCTTTCTAAAATCCTTTTCTGTAAGATGAAGACTGCAATTCATTATACACTGGAGGAGCCAGAGACTTTGCTAAGCTTTGGATTTCTGACCATTCGTCTCAGATCAAGCATACACATACGCGTGCGTGCGTGTGTGTGTGTGGGTGTGTGGTGTGAGCGTGTATGTGTGTGTGTGTAGAGCTGTTGATGACTAGGCTTGTATTTTGACATAATTTGGGCTACCTATAAAATTAAATGTCTCTCCTCTTTATGGGATTAAAGATCATTTCATCCTCAGTGTGCTTTCCAAATGTGAATTGTGAAAATTGGGAGGTGACTTTTATCACCAGCTATTTTTATGTGGCTCCGTCAACCTAACTCAGGAAACTCGCAAAAAATAAGAACTACTGTTTGTCAGTTACTAGCTTACAGTGAACTGATCACTTCTAGGTTAAAACCCCTACTAGATTTGTAATAATCATTCGAGTTCCTCTTTGATTCCTTTTATGAATAAACATCACAAACAATAACAAACCTTCAAGCTTAGAGCAGAGAAAGCAAGCTCACTGCATAATCCCTCTTTCTTACTGCCTTTTCAACTTGGTAGGGGAGACTAAATTTTGGGTGAGGATGATGGCATTCTCAGGCAGAGTGAGATAAAAGTGTGTCTAATTACACGTTAATGGCAGATTTCGCCTCACCCAGACTCCTTCCAGCACACTGGCGAATTTCTCCTGGGTGGATGCTGAGCCCCTTCTCTCTTTAAGAGAGCTTCCCGCGCCCCTCACTCCGCCCCCTCCCAAGGCTCCGGGCTCGTCAGCTTCCCGAGAGCCATGGTTGGTCCAGGCAGGCGAGCGGAGCACCTCCTGGAGCGGCTGCTAATTGGGGGTGGGGTGAGGTGGGGTGGGGGGGGTCTGTTTGTAGTACTCTCAGTCCTGATGTCACAGGCGCGGCAAGGACATCGCAAGGAGGAGTCGGATTACAGTAAGGATGGGCAGCGCAGCAGGCAGCCCGAGCGCACGCTCCAGCGGCCGGGGATCATAGCCCTGGAAGGGCAGCCTGCGAGGCGCTCATCCCACGGAGCAGGCACGCTCGGCGCTCCTGCTGTCCACGCTGGAGACGTTTCCACCGAATGTAGCATGAAACGGCGCTGCTTGGCGTGCCAGCCTGGGGTGCGAGCTGAGGCTGAAGACGCCGCCGCGGTGGGGTTCCAGCTGTCTGATTAATGAGAAACATAATGTATTTTGGTGAGTGTTGGCTCTGATGATGTAATTCTGGGGGTGCCCGGCTCTTCATCAGGCAGACAAGCCTTTAAAAAAAATAATGTTTAAGCTGCGGGAATATTACATGAAGCCTACCTCCCGTTGGCAACTGGGGAACGTCTCTGGTGCCGCTTTCAAAGCTTTCTTTGTGCTGCAATTGGGGCTGCTAATTAGCCATGAGTTTAAGTTGGAAGAGAAGAGAGACAGGGGCGCGGGTGGATAAACTTTACCTTCCTTTGTAGGCATGAAGTTGGCTTTTTTAGAAAAGCTAGGTGAAGAGGAGAAATGGTGCAGCGTGGGAAGGCACGGGCTAACTTAATGGAATGTGAAACAAAGTTCCTGTAGTATTGATGCTGTGAAAGCTTAGTCAATATGAACGTTTCATTAAGCCTTGGGTTTTTCCCTCATTCCCTGTCAGCAGAGGAAAACATGCCCTTAGTGAGCAGTGGCTGAGTTGTTGAGAACTCTCCTCCATACCATCCCGGTGCTTCCTCTGGCGAAGGCAGCCTCCCACAAAATGCATATTATTTAGAACCTTTAGAGGTCTCAGAGCTGTTAAACATTTGTGCGGTTTAGTTCTGTGCCAGTGTGGAAACCTCCCTTAGGTTTTCAGCTGAGCTGCCTGCATTTCCAGAAAGCATGTGGACGCTTTGATCTGGGCTCTCAGCTGAGCACTGTAAGTGGGCTCAGAGCAGTGCATTTGCACTGTAAGGCTGCAACTTACTGCTAGGAGAGAAGGTAAATGCGCTTCACTAAATAGGAAGAAACCAAGGCTCTGGACTGAATATCCGCTCCTCGCCTTAGAAGTTATGCTTTCCTACTGTAAGTCCCATCTGGTGCTGTCATTTAAGGGAATCGTTGATATTAAAAGGTTTCTGAGGGAAACTGGAGAGGGACCAGGGGATGATTCTAAAATGTGAAATGCTCCTAGTGATTCTTCCCTTGGTTTAAACATTAAATCTAGAGATGTCTCTCAGTTTAGAAAAGTATTTAGATATACTTGGACTGGGGCGCTATTAGTTTATTGGGTGTTTATCTCTGTGTCTATTATTTGCTTTGTTTTGTTTTCTTGAGCGTTTGAAACATTTGTGAAAGTATGGAAGGAACGCAAGTTGCAAAAGCTAAATGCCTTTAGTTGACTTGACAGCAGTTTTGATTTCCTTGTAATTTGTGTCATATTAGAAAAGATGTCTTAAAATATCCAAAATTGACTTGAAAGAAACAACCCTGACTTCATAGTTAAATTTAAGCTGAATCCGGAGTGAAGCAACACCTCTTTCCAGGGAGCAATGATAAAGGTGATAAGATTGTTTGTTGGCAATTAATAGAACAGTATTTGTCGTGCATGTATTTGACAAATGCAAAAGGTTGCAAAGATAGTATGTCTCAGATAAAATAAAACTTTGGCATCTGTAATGATATTGAGAGATGATAAAGATTTTAATTTTAGTTTTAAGTGTCCAGGCTTTTGTAAGGATTCTTTATGTGAATGTGGAGAGCAAGCAGTGCTATCCAGAGAAGCAGTGGAATCTAAAAGTACTAGTCAAATACCATCCATGCTGTACTGGATTTTTGTGTGGTGACTGGAGAAGTAGTCATTGGGCTAGCTAATGTTATTCACTGTGTGCTAGTCCAGCTGTCTTATGAAGCAGTGTGATTCACAGTGGAATAAGTTTCATTGTGTAATGCAAGTTTTTAATAGTATGAATTGAACTGTGATGGCCTACTTACTTCAGATGAAACTAAACTCTTAAAAAAGCAGGGCTAAAGTTGCCCTCTGTGTCATGAACATGGTTCAGTCTCACCATAATTCTAACATGAGAATGTTTTTCTATTCCTGGAAGAAATCATGTGTGTTGAGGAGTGGTGTTTATTTCAGTCCCTCTCTGTAGCTGTTAGACGTTATTCAGCCCCTCACTTTAGCTGTTAGACATCCAGAACTCTGAAAGCTCAACTGTCTGTAATAAAATGTGATGTGCAAGATCTGGGGCAAAAAGCATGGAGTAGAACACTCCAGGCGTGTTAAAAATCCAGTAGCATAATAATGTTTGCAAACCTCTGAGACTAGGTAGGTGTGTGTATCTATATGTATAGATACATGTATGTGCATGTATGTGTGTGTGTATATTTATGTGTGCCTCTGGTTATATCTAATATTTCATCGATTTCAGGTAATTTTTCAAAACAGTGCTTTCACTTTGCAAACTGGTTGACAATTACTTCCTTAATGTTTCAACTGCAACTGGTTTATCAAGTCAGGGCAAACAGGGACAAAAGGAAAGCAGGGCCTTATTCTTGGGATTTTCTAGGGATTTGTGCAAATGGGGGAGAGGTGTCAGAAATCTTTTATTTGTGTCCTTGGCAGGGAGTGATGGAGAGCCTGAGGATGCTGTGGCACTAGGTGAATTGATATGAAAGCAGCAATTTACTTCCTTTATAAATAGTCTGATTTGTGAGGTGGTGCTCCCTTTCAGATAGAACTGAGGAATGGTTGCTGGCTCAGCCTATCTGCTTTTCTTTAAGCCTCTTTCCACTTAGGGACTGGGCCATTGGATCCTCTCCTAGCCCAGCTGGAGTCTCTTGTGTGTGTGGAGAAGTTGGTGGAATGTGTAATATTTCCAGGTCATGTTTTGAGCGCGCTGTCCCAGACTTACAAGACTAATGGACCCTTTTAATGACTTAAGCCTCATCTCCTATTGAGATTTGAGTGCAGTGTTTTCAATAACTGTTCCTTTGTCCTTACTGCGCAGTGATTTAAGAGTTTGCTGTTCAGTCACCGTGGATACTTTTGTTACTTATTGCATCGATCTTGCATTCATTACTTGGAGTTAAACATAAGGTTCACAGGCAAGAAAGAAGCAAGGAAAAATCCCAGTCAGCATCCTGCGGGGTGGAAAAGCAAGGGAAAAACAATAAATACTATGATGTTACCCTCCCCGCCCCAATAAATATTTTACAGTTAAAACTTACATGTGTCAAGGATGAGTAGCCGTTAATAATTTATCCAGAAATAAAAGCAAACCAGCTGGGAGACTTCTTCCCAGATTACGGAAGTGAGGCTGTGGGTGGTTGTCAGTACAACAGGCAGTGCTGCCAGGTTCCAGTGTGGTTCAGAGAGTGTGCTGGTATGAAGGGCAGGTTCTGTGCTTGAGCGCATCCTGGCAGCTGCTCAGTGCCTGGCAGAAGATTATAACTGTACACTGTCTCCAGCTCTGAGCACTGTACCTCCCTTCCTATCTGGCCTGACACCCTTCTCTGCTGATGAAGTGGTGAGTCGTCGTAGACAGCAGTCATGCCACCCGCACAAATCACCCACGGTTTGGCAGAGACATGCGTGCCTTACCCTTTTCCGTCAGGGAGAAAGGGGAGGTTGGCTGGACCCAGAAAATTCTATGTGGCCTTAAATCAGTATGTTTATCCAGGCCTGTTTCAAGCAGATAGAGACTCTGGTGAGTTTGCAGCTGGGAAAATGCTCCAGAAAAATAAAATGAAATTATACACTTTTAACAAATGAACAGAAATGGGAGACAGATATTAATGCTCACTGTAAAAGTTATTATTAATAGCATATTAATTAAACCTAGAGAAAAGGGCAAGCAAAATGTGGAAAGTGTGAATGAGCCATTCAAGTTCAGCTTGATGTTAATTGTGGGTCAGCTATCTCTTTTAAAGTGCCGAAGAAAAGTAGGGAAAATATTTAGTGGTGTGCCTATCATAACAAAAAGTACTTTACTGAGGAAGCTCTTAATACAATAGCTAAGACAATTCTAAACCAGAGTCGTATTCCTCTGACTATAATAGGCACGTTTGTACTGTCTGAGGAAAGACTTTGTTCTTCCCCTGGGATGTTTTGAACATTCTTCAGTCAGCATTTACACTTCTGGTGTGGCTGGACCATCAAGTTTCACCTCCAAAGCAGTACGTTAGAAACACAAATGCAAGGTTATGAGAAAGCAAATGATCAGAAACCAGTAGGAGCAGAGAAAAACATCCCTCTTTTTTACATTGTTCAGTGGAAACATTTAACTCCTTCTAATTAGTTTGTAGTGAGTGATTTGTTATGGGGAATTAGGTCCACTAGAGCCTATCTATACACTCTGGAGCTGTTTCTATCTTCTCTGGGCCTGACAAGGGGACAGAATCATTAGGAAAGAACTTGTATTCTCCGTTTTAGTCTTTGGAGTCATTTCCATTACATTTTATTACAAAGGAATCTCAATGTCGGGCAATAAGTATATAACAGGGATGGAGAATATGATGGGTGAATTGTATCAGAAAGGGTCATACAACAGAACCTGAAATCAAACAGAGCTTCAAAACAGGAAAGATTTCTTTCTTAACACAGTTCTCTTTTAAATTCATAAGATATTTTTATTTTAAGAAGCCAAATTCCAAATTGAATCAATTCGTCACTAACACAGGTTCTTTAGTATAGCCTTAATGTTTGAGCTAATAATTTTTCTATCTTTTTAAAGGATCTCTTTAGTTGACCTAATTATATGGAAATAAAAAAAGTTTATTTAAGGGGTAAGTTCCAAAATTCATGAGATAAGGAGGACTTATGAAGTTACTCTTTTTGGGGGAGGTGGGACAGTTATTCACAAATACAACTAAAAGTTTTAAATTTGTGCATTCTTTTGACTTTCATTTCAGAAAGCTTGGCCGTAGCTGCTTTTGGCTGAAAAAGCAAAGAACAGGATAGGCTGGTTATGAGCTTGTGTTAGACAACATAGCATCAAACAATGCCCTGTTGTACGAGTACCTCAGTAGTGTTTCTCATTCTCAGCATTTACACATCCCTGCATCTTTTTTACATCATTTGTGCCGTAACACTTAAGGACGGATTGAAAAAGATAAATATTAAAATAATTTTGAGCACAACTGGCTCTCAGGTTCAATAACTGTTCCATACATTATAGATTTAAAAAATCAGGTCATAAGGCTAATTCTCAAAGCTCTCCCTGCTTTAGAAAGAGTGACGCTTG